GGGGGCGCGGTCCCGGCTCGGCCCCGCCCACCCACGGGGACCACGCCCACTTGAAAAGACCACAAAGACCACGCCCCCACAAAACGATACAGGTACGTGTATGAAGCCCCGCCCCTTCCTCTAAACCACGCCCACTGACCGCAACCACACGCCATTGCTCTAAACCGCGCCTCCCTGTCAATCACACGGTCGGCCCCGCCCCTCGCCCTCCCTTCTCTCCCTCCCCCCACTCCACTCACCGGGGCGCGGGCGGCGGTTTTGTCCTGCCCCGGCGGGTACAGCTTGTCCAGGCTGTGCGAGCTCCGGTACTCGGTGCCGATGCCGGCCCACAGCGAGCAGCGGGCGGACAGGAGCGCCAGCCCCGGGCGCGGCCCGCGCAGGGCCCGCAGCGTGTGCGCCGCCATCTTGGCCCCCGCGGTGCGCCGTGGCCAGGCGTCCCCGCGGAAACGGCGGCCGCGGCCCGCGTTCCGGGGAGGGACCGGCAGGGCGGGGTGGGATAAAGGGGATAAGACGGGCTGTGATGGGGGAGTGTGGGGATGGATCCTGGGAATCTATGGGAGTGCGATGTCCTGGGGCCGCGAGGTGTCTGGAGCATTAATGGGAGGTTTAGGAAGTCCATGGGGGTATGGGGGGCACCGTGTGTGTGGGGGGGATATGGGGGGTCTAGAGGGGGATATGGGGTCTGTGGGGTGCCAGGAGAGGGGCGTGTGGGGCACCTGTGGGGTACATGGGGTGTGTAGAGCACCTTGAGGGGGGGGGTGAGGGAGGTCAGGGGTGGTTATGGGGTCTGTGCACCCCCACTCCTTGGTTAGCAGAGCAGTGATGGCCAGTGCTGGAAAACACATCTGGCCTTTTTTTATGTGTTGTCCAGTTTTTGCACCTGGGATGCTTCAGCTTCTGTGTTTTTATCTGCTTAAAAGTGCTGAAAGGTACACACACACATATATTTTATATACAATTATTTCTTTGAATGCTGATTCTGGGTCTGTAGGAGACGCTGAGGTGGATGTGGGATGCAGGTCAATGAGGCCATTGTGGAAATCCTTTGGCTTTTCCTCCTCTTGTAGCTGTCAGGCTGGCTTGACAAGAAGGGTGTGCGTTCCAGAGGGGCAGGGATTGCTATTCCTGGCAGCAGGAAAATGCACAGGCAGGAGTGGGCTGTCATTTGCTCTGGTGTTTTGACAGGAGCTGACAATCTCTTGTTTAAAACCGTGGATGAAGTCAAAATTGGTGTTCAGAAGCTGATATAGAGACTGTGACTGAGGATCTGAGCTGAGTCCCATCCCCAAAATCAGGGAACTTGGTCCCTGGGAAGGGAGCAGGCCCTAAAGATGGATGGCTGGTCTGTCCTGACTGTAGCTGAGCAGCTCAGGGCCAAGGGGGGCTCCCCACTTTGTTTTAATTGAGTCCCTGAGTCCTGGGGTTCTGCTCTGCTTCCCCCTCCAAACTCAGCTGAAAACAAAACGCTTTAAGGAAAAAACCCAGAGCTGTCGGATACAAACCGTGCCATCTGGTGACCTTAATTTCTAACAGGGAACAGGTAAATGTTTGTGATTTGTAGCCAGGAGGTTGTCTAAAATACTCCAAGCAGGATGACTCATTTACCAGCTGTTGTCAAACGTGCCTGGTGGTTGTTGTGCAGGAGCAGCCTCTAAAGGTGTGTGGGGGACAGAGAGGCTGGCGAAGGAGCTGGAAGGTCTCACAGGTGAAGACAGACCAGTCTGAAAGGACACTTGTCTGGTTTTGCTTTGTTCCCACACTGTGTTGGTCCATAGAGCCCTGGTAAAAAGCTGGATAATCTCTGCCTGGATGGTTGGAAACAGCTCTCCTTGGCAGGCAGGGCTTGGGATGACAAGGTCTGACTTTGGCATGAGCCAAGGAGAGCCAAACTTTTGGCCTTCCAGCTGGAGACGTGAAGTGCTTTGGCACTGATGGGGGCTGAGGAAGCCAATTCACCCTGTTTGGTGCTCACTGGTGGGCAAGAGCTGAAAGGAGCTGTCCCTGAAACCGGGGGGAAGGGCTGGTGAACCAGTCATTCCTCGTGTGAGGGAGAGCACAGGCTGTTAATGAGGGAGCAAATCAGGACTTTGAGGGACCTTCCGGAAGGTCTCAACTCCTGTTGAGAGGGAAGATTGATGAATCAGGAGATCTCCTTCCCTGTGAGAGTTTGAGCTCTGTAAAACCCTTGAATTTGTGCTTCAAATGCCCCCTCCCTATTTGTTTCAGAAGGGTTATTCAAACTGGTGGTACGGTGAGAAACCAGACTAGATATGATGGAACTGCACGAGTCTAAATGCCATCTTTCAACTTCTTGACAAGCTGTGCCCTTATTGATCTTATTGCTGTGAGCTGAATAGGGTCACTGGTTTTGCCAAATTATGAAATTAAGAATGATTTCCTGTTCTATCACACTTTTTCTCATCCATTTTAATCACGTGCAGCATTTTTCTTTCTGTCATGAACCATGAGGGTGTGCTGTTAAGTAGCTGCTGCTGCTCTCTGCTACCCCAGTTCCTGTGGCAGTGTGATTGCTTAATAGCAATTGGAAAAGTTTAGATCAAAGGTGGCTCAAAAGGCCAGAAGTTGATTACTTTTTCCTCCTTTGATCACTGAAAGCCTCACTTAAGACAAAAATCAAGTGACTGTGACTCACACAGTCATCAGGGTGGGTATATATGGCCACTAATATTTTTGGCTGCAGGAAAAAAAAATTGCCCTCAGCACTTTGCAGAACTCTCTGCTGATACATGGCAGCTGTGCCTTTGTCAAGCCAAGCACTAATATCATGTTACTCACATCAGTCATTTTTGGATTTGTGGTTTGCAAAAAAAGACCAAAACAAAAATAGGCTTTGAATTGGGAGCTTGGAAAGTGTGTGGTTTTGCAGAGACTTCCGAGCTGACAAAAAGAGGGGTTTTATCGCGTGGCAAGTGTTACAGTCCAAGTGCATAAAAATGTATGTTATATAAATAATGCAGCAGAACAGTTCAGCATATTCTCTTTGCTTCCTGCAAAGGAGCCCGAAGCATTTTCTTGACCCAAATTGTACATGAAAATCAAAGACATAACTCTCCTGCTGTTCTTAAAAGGTAAAAAGAGCTGTAAGAGCTTTGAGAATGCCAGGGTTTCTTTTTTATCCGAGGAGAGAATAAAGCATTTAAAAATATGTGTGTTTGATGTGTTGTACACTTAACTGTGATGCTGATCCACGTGGGATTGTTTAAAATGGAAAGTGAGGGCGATTCTCTTCCCACACCTCTGCAGCATCAGCTGAGTGCAGGGCAAACACAGGCTGGGCTTAAACCAACACTGCTCCACGTGCTGAGTTAACAGGGAGTGGGTGTGGGGGGGAAGTGAACGCTCCCAGAAAGTCATTGATGCTGCTTTTGTTGTTGTTGTTGGTTTTTATTTATTTTATTTTATTTTAGACAACTGCTTTCCGTTATAAATAAATAAGGCATGAAGGTTCTCCATACAGTTACAGAGCTGGTAGCCACAGTCGTGCCCACGGCTCGGGCTGTGTCAGGGGCCGTGGGGCACCTGCAAATGCACAGCGTGGGAGAGCAGAGTGGTGGGTGGTTTTGAGGAGACCTGCGGAGCAGGGGTGATTTGGGCATCACACTCCCGCCAACTTACCTCTGTGGTACTCAGCTTAACAAAACAGGGTGGTTTCGGGGGGTATTTCTGCATGAATTCCATGGGGATTGGAAGAAAAGTCGCTCCTCGTAACATCAAGGCCCTGGACGTGGGGGATAATTACATCTCAACAGTCTTCCCCCTCCAAAGCCACATTCTCATTTGTTTATCTCAATGTTGCAGGAGTCCCAGCTGTTGGCCCAAGACTTTGGGATTTAAGCTGGTGAAAATAGAATCCAGATGCAGCTGATAGTTTTCTCCAGGTGGGTACGGAACAGGGAGCTTACACTGAACTGTTTTTGTGGCTCAGTGCTCAGGGTGTTGCCTTAAGCTGTAATGAAATGCTGCTTCTCTGCCTAAAACACGTGTCTGACCATATGAGGTCAACATCTAGTTCGTGAAGACTGGAAACTGGTGATTCCTGAGACTGCAGTGGCCTTTTGGCTGTGTGTTTGCATGTCTGTGGAAGCAAAAGTGAGGAGATTTCAGTGCTGGAAAGGGAGATGGAACACGAGAGGCAACAGCGTTTGGAGAGTGTCTCAGCCAAGGGAGATCATTTTCAGCAGGAAACTGAAATCTGTCCTCATGGCTGGGGAGATGCTCAGAGCAAAGTGTGGGGTGGTGTGTGACCTGCCAGGGCCAGAGCTCCTGACCAGGGAGGTGTTGTGTCCTCCAGCTTGCGTGTGAGTCCCTGGGAGTCAGCTTTGCAAGCCCATGCAAGCTGTGTTCGAGGAATTGGCTATGATGGGACAATGACAACCTCTTGAAGAGCACGGCTGGTACCCAGAGCGTGAGGTGGAAGCGTGTCTCTGACACTGCTAGCTATGGGAAAGCCCTGGTCACCGAGTTCCTACCAGGCACAGTGCTTCACCTGGGCTGGAATACCAGGGCAGATTTAAAGCAAGGAGGTCCCATATGCTACAAGGTCTGGAGAGGATGGACTGAAACACTGAGCGACGCCAATGGGGATGGAACAATCAGTTTTACGTTTCTCTTCAAGTTTTTCCAGTTGCAATGAGCTTGCATTGTAAAGAGCTGAAAAACCTGACTGATTAGAGAATGGCTTAAATTGCAAGACCACACTGCCCTTTGGGGGAGGAGAAGGCAGAGACTGAAGTCTCTTGGGTTCAAGCGTAGGTTCTCAGCCATAAAACCACAGTGGAGGGCTGGGCTGCCGTGCTGGGGCAGCCCCTAAAGTTCTGATGGCTTTTTGTTTCACTTTGAAACGCTGTGATCCAGCTGTGGCAGGACGCTGGAGGACATCCAGGCTTTTGCTTGCAGATAATCGGGCTACAGGACAAGCTGGGAAGGGGCAGAGGAGGTGTCTGGTTTTCCTTTTTTTCGTGGTTTACATTGCTCTTGTGATGTCTGGCAGCGGCAGTAACTCATGCAGAGATCCGTCATATGGTTTCTGAAATCCTCTAACTATAATGTACAAGTGTCCCAACGAGTTGTCCGGAGCCCAGACTTAAAAAAAAAAAAAGTGAGTTGAGTCTCCAGGACGTTTCCTCGCTCGCAGACCTCTCGAACCTTCAAAGCAGAGGGGCCACGTGGCATTTCCTGGGGCTGAAGAGAGGACGTGGCTGCTGCAATTGCACGTGGGAGAGTTGCGGAGAGCCGGGGGGCTCATTTGCTGCTCTTGTTTTTCACCTTGGTGGCGTTGATGTCTGCTTTCGTCTTCTGGATGCGGGAGAAGATCTCCTTGAAGAGAGCCTTGTATTCCGGCTGGCTCTGCTCCAGCCGCTTGTCCACGGCCTCCACGTGCTTGCTGATGGTCTTCTCCATGGTTTTCCGCTCCTCCAGCTCGTGCGCCTCCCCTCGGAAGTCCCTGAAGGAGCTGTCGCGGGAGATGGGCCGGGAGGTCTGGACGCCCGCGTGGCGCACGCTGTCCTTGTGCTGCCGGCACTTGCTCAGGAGCTCCTCGTACTTCTCGAGCAGGGCGTGGTACTGCTCGTCCACCTCCCGCAGGATGGACATGCCCCTCTTGCGCACGTTGTTGGCGTGCAGGGTGTAGTTGCCCTCGTGCCGGCTCACGGCGTCCTTGGTCACGATGGCGTTCAGGGCCGTGTCGCTGCAGCTCTTCCGGACGGGGTGGTTCGGGGACGGCGTCATGGACGTGCCGTGGCTTTTCCCTCCCTCCTCCTCGGAGAGGTCGATGTAATCTGCCTCCGGGGCGTTGTTCAGCGGCTCCAGGAGGGCTTCGGACAAGTTGTCCTCTCTGCTGAGCAAATACTTCTTGACTTGTTTCATCTGCTGCAGCTCCAGGAGCTCTGCCTCCAGCTCCTTGATGCGCAGTTTGCAGTTCTCCATCTCGCACACCCGCTGCTCCAGGTCCGAGTACTCCTGAATAACGGAGGTGTACTCCCGCTCCACCCTCTCCTTCCGCTGCTTCTCCTGGTTGACCTGGGACCTCAGGGAGTTCACCATGGCTTGGAGACGCTCGTTCTCCCTCTCCAGTGGCTTCTGGTTGAACTCTGTGGAAGAGCTGTGGACCTGGAATGCGTCCTCATACCTGAAAGAGAGGAAAGATCCTTGAGAGATTCTGACCAAGTGACGGTTCCATGAGGGACTTGTGTCTTACTGTCACGTAAGGAATTTCACTGTTGCCCAGAAAGGACTTAACCTGATCTCGTGGAGTGAGATGTGCCACCTCCGTGTGCCAGGAGACCACAAGGTGTGGCTGGGGTTCTTCTGAACACAGAGACCAGCCTGTGTCCCAGAGAACTCGCAGGTTTTTTTGACAGCAGTAATAAAAGAGAGGAGGGAAATGAGACACTAAGTGGTAAGAGACTCACCAGGTTAATGGACAAATCACCAACATTGCTGTGAAGCAAATACAAATGTTCAGTTGCTTCCAGCCTGAGCTGAAAGTGGGTGGCTTTGGGTTTTTCCTGCTGGAGTTCATCAGCAGGATGAACTTTATCTGCCAACAACCCCGAATCGCTGCCAGCCAAAACCCAGAAGAGCAGGTGTTGCTGCCCTGTGCACCCCTGTGCCTGGGAGATGCTCCAGAGGGGGTGGGAGAAGTTTTATACAAGGAAGGCAGAGACTTCTGACAGAGTTTCCCCTTCTTCTCAGCCTGGGAAGTGATAACGAGCGCTTCCCCCTTCCCTCATGTTGCTGTTGGGAATCCGTTTTTTCCTCCTCAGTGAAGCGCCCATGGCATCCTATCTGTTTAGAACAGATTGGAAAAGAGCAGGCTCTGTGGCTTCCCCTGGGAGGCACGGCTGTGGTGGGGGGGTATTGAACAGATTTCAAGGCACTGAAGGGCAGCCTGACCTTCAGAGCCAACTGCGGAGCTGCAAGTGGAACCGAGGTCCCATGGCATGGGGGGGATAGTGGGACTGGGGGGCTGGGGGGTAAAGAACCACAAAAACATTAAGTGGATTTTGCTGGGGGTTAGGTCATGGCCTTGAAACATTCCTGTTGCTGCTGCAGTGAAAGTGTCTTTGGTTCACATCCTCTGGCAGAGGGTGCTTTCAGTAACAAAGTTTATCGATTGCTTATCTATTTAAAGAAGCCTCTACTGTGGACAAAGCTGAGCAAGAAGAGCCCTCACGAGGTCAGTGAATTAACACAGTGGCCGGGTTTTAAGGAGGATTAGGGCTGCAGTAGTGCTGAAGGTGTTGGTACAGCACCTGGCAGCACTTGGTGTATCTGGGTGTGTGACTGGTGCTCCTGGGGTGTGCTGGAGTCACACAGCACAAAATGCACCAGCTCAGCTGGTTTCAGAGAGCCAGAGGTGCTGGTGCTGTACTGGGAGGCAGCTGGGAAGGGCAAATATGCTGTGCTGGTTTGGGAAGGGAAGCATCACCATGCTGGGATCATGAAGGCTCTGCTTTAGCTGGGTGGGTAGAAGAGAGGGATGTCCTCCCTTCCCCTCCAGCTGGGGGTTTCAGGCTCTGAGGCAAAGCCTCGACTCTGTGGGGCTGTATGTGGGTTTCTGTGCACCCCCTGCACCACCTGTTCGTGGGCAGAGAAGGAGGGGAGAAGATTTGAGGGGTTGCCGAACCCAGGGCTCTGTACCTGGGGCTGGAGCAGAGCTCCTTAAGGCAGGGGAAGGTGTGGATGGTTCGGCGCCGCTCCCTCTTCTCCCGCCGTATGCGGAGCTGCTCCAAGCTCCGCATTTCCTCCACCTGCTTCTGCAGCTCCTCCACTTGGTTCTGCAGCCCCTCGATTGTTTCTGTCAAGCTGCAGAGAGAGAAGTCAGAAAGTGGGTGAGGAGTCAGGCACTACAGGATCCTGAGTGGTGGGGTTTTTCCCCATAGAGAAAGCCAGTCTGTAGAAGGTGCTTCCAGTTCTCAGCATGTGCCCTGGGAGCACGACAGCACTTGCTTTTTGTGGCAGTGGTTGGTCTTTCTCTATGTGGTCACTCTTGAATGGGGGTCATTTTAGAAAGGAAGGGGGGATTGACTTGAGACCTTCTGTCCTCAAATCAGTCACTGAAACAATCTCCTCTGAGATTTAAGCGCTATCCTGAATCTCTCTCCTCTGAAAACAAGCATCTCTTCCCCTTGTTTACCTTGTTGAGGTAAACACAGAGACTGGGCAGAGAGTTAGTTTTGTTCTGGCTGTGAATAATTTGTAAAACTCTCTGCTCCGAAACTCCCTCTCCACACAGCTGTTTGCAAATAATGCTGCCCTGCAAGGATATGGCTTGGGATGTTGTTTCTAGGGATGACCTTGATCATGGGCTTGTTTTGGGAAAGAAATATTATTGATAAACTAGTGTTTCAGCAGGGACTAGCCAGGATTTCATTAGATGCTGGATCTGTGCCTAGTGTTTCTGCTGGGGACTTCCCTGATATGATTATTTGCCTCTTCAAGGAAACTCATCTGAGGGGGGGCTCCTGTGCCTCTTTCCTGGCAGCTTCAGACCCTCCTTATCCAGCCCTCATCCCAGGCGTGTCTGTGCTGTGGCTGACGCCTGCTAACCAGTATTACTGCAATGCACTTGTGTGGTAAATAGCTCCAAAACTGGACTGATAAGAGAATGGCTCAAGTATCAAGGACAGGCTGTGCTTTGGGGCAGGGGAAAGGTGAGGTGAAGGGCTCTCGGGTACAGCATCACTGTGGTGGGAGGAGGGGAGGCTGTACCACTGGATCTTCTGCTGGGAGGTCTTGCTTTCCAGCACGAGTTTCTGGTTAGCCAGCTCCAGGTCCCGTGCTGTCAGGTCCAGCTGCTCGTAGACTTTCGCGTGCTGTTCGTTCATCTGCCGCAACATTTCCAGCTGCTTAGTCAGGTACTGCAAGAAAAAGTGAAGCATAAGCACTCCACAGCCAAAATCCAGGTTGTTTCACAGGGAGAAATTCCTACAGCCTTTGCTTCCTCTGATAAAAGTGTTTTGTGATTGGGTGAAGCCTCTTCCACAGTTGAAATATTCATCCCCCCTGCCCACTGTAAATAATTTTGTGTCTAAAATAGGACTGAACTTCCCCTGCCCTCTGTGAAGGGCATTAACCTCAATCTCCCTCTATTCAGCTGCTTTTTTATTCCCAGTACCAAAGAAAGCTGATATTCCTGAGACCGAAAGTTGACTGAAATTGGCCAGTTGGTTACTGGATTGTCTGACAGATCGATTGCAGAAGCTGTGTTTCCGTGGGGATTCTGGCTAAAACTCTGAGTCTGTGAAATGTGAGGAGACCTGTGATTTCTATGTGTTTGCAGGCCCTTTTCTGTGAGTTTGCCATTGTAAGATTTTATCCTATGAAGACCAGGAGAGCAGCATCTACCCAGTTGCTCACTCTCAGCTGTGATCAGATCCCAAAGCCTACGGTGGACCTGCTTCTGAAGGGCTGCTGGAGGGGGAATGGCTAAATCCATCCACCAGTTCCCTTGAACATCAGCTGTCAGATCCCTGCAGCATCATGTGCTGCTCTGTGAACTCCCAGCCCTCCTCTGCCCTGTGTCCTTTTAAATCAGGGGGTGTCCAGTCTTTTTCAGCTCACAGATCCCTAGAAGTTTTCCAGTGGATGAAAACCCTCCTGGCACAGCAGGTTTAAGCCTCTGAAATCAGTTCTGTGGGCTCTTAGAAATAACCCCAAAGGATGTTTGAAATGGTGGTTTAGATTGCAGCTCTTGGAAAAAGAGCTATTTTATGCCTCTAACAAAGGGGGCTGTGTTGTGGGGGTGCTGAGGGGCCAGCTGGGAACAAACGCCATTCTCAGTGACTGGGATCAAGGGAAAGCTGCAGCAGAGCAAAGAGAAATGAGTGTGAAGGCTGCTGGATGGGCAGGGGAAGGCCAAACGTGACCCAGGGGCAGCCTGGTGCCAAAATCTGGCGCCAAAAACTGGCGTGCACATCTGGGCAGGGGGTGGGGACGTGAGAAGAGGGAAAATGACAGTGGGGGAAAAGACCCTCTCCAGAGCTGGGATGGGCTAGAACAGACCTCAGTCCATCCCGCTTCAGGCATATACAAGATCCTTTAACTCCCATGCCCTATGGCACATCCCTGTCTTTCTGCTGCCATCTGAGCTGTTGGCAGTGGTGGAAGTGCCCCTTCCCTTCGTCCTTGGGTGACAGCAGTGGCCCTACCTCGATCTCCTGCACTTGCTCCTCGTTGGTGGTGTACATCTGCTGCAGGGAGTCCTCCAGCTCCTTGTTGCGCTCCAGCAGCGTCTTCCCCAGCTCTGCGGCCAAGTGCAGGTCTGAAAAGCAGAGGGACAAAGCTGCTGCGGTTCCCACAGCTCCACAGGTGGGTGTGGTGGGATCCCCCCCCCCAAAAATGATGCTGGATCAAGCTCAGTGGCACATTTTGCATGGTGCTGGTTTTACTGGTGCGTTTTGTCCTGGATGCAGGACTTGCAGAACACACAGGACCTGGGATCTTGCTGGGCTGCAGGAGCAAGCAGAGGCCAAGCTCTGGGCTCTGCAACTCCTCCATGCAATGAGGATTTGGTGCCTGGCTGGCTGCAAAACCCTCCTGCACACCGTGTAGCCAGGATCGGGCCCGTGGGGCTGGGCTGTGGCAGGTGCTCAGCATCTCCATCCCCTACCACCAAGACCTGAAGGGCTGAAAGGGACTCAGCACCCTCAGAATGAGAGCGAAGGTTGGTAAAGCCCTGTGGGGCCCTGGGGATGCTCTGTAAATTATATTATTATCTCTAACGAGGGGAGCGCCTTGCCTTCCCTGTCAGCCTCCATCCATCACCCACTAATGGACTGACAGGAGTAATAAAACCATGCGTGGCCCGAGGGGGCTGGAGGCACCTCCCAGATGTGCCACCCTGGTCTTCCCTTGGGGCAGCTCCGGGGGAAGGACAAACCCCTTTTGTGTTCACTCTCTGCCACGTCTAAATGCCCTTAGGAAGTTACTGAAATAGTTGGACTTCAGGAGAAGTGCAGGGAAAAGTAGATGTTGGCAGTGCACTTGGCTTAAAATGCTGGTTTTGCTGCTGGTGGGTAAAGAAAAAGCCCCTGTGAGTCTTGTGCTGACCAAAACTTGACCACACAGGTGATGCTGTTTGTGGGACTGGGATGGCACAGCTGTCTCTGGGAACAGCCCTTTGCTGTCACAGGAATTGCTTGTCCTTTTAAAGCCTGACCTATCTTCACGTGGGTTTCACTTTTCCTGTTGCTTTTAGAGGTGAATTAACAGCTCCTACAATGGCAGACTGAATATCTGACCTTAAACCTTCAAAAAGGTAAGGAAACAGGTCCTGGTGTGTTATTGCACTATCTCCAGTGTGGTGATCATGCAGTCATAGGTAATTAAGGAGTGACAATCCTGCAGTGTGTGAGGGGACTGGGGTCTCCTGCCCTGGTGTTTTCTCACCCTGTCATAATGCTCCTCTCTGGTCTGCAGCTAATGATGTGTTTTGCAAAGGCTCTGCCTGGGCTGAGAGCAGCTAAAATTTCTTCCAGTGGCTAATTTGGCCATGCAGTTGGTTGGAAAGAGGGACAGTTGGTCACTAAGACAAGAAGAAGGGGAACCAGGTTGCCAAAGGTGTATTCTGAGCCTGGGAGAAGCCCTGATCTCTCACACATCACAGGGTGAGGCTCACAGTGACCTCAGACATGAGTGCTGCAGCGCTGTCAGTGTCTGGGATGGGGCTTTCCTGATGGATAACGCTGTGCTGTGGGATGTGCTGATGTGTTATTAGTTTGGGTGATGGCTGTGTTTCTTTGCGCTGGCTTCCCCAGATGTTTTCCTGCCAACAGCTGCTCGGTGTGTCCTCGAATCTCCCTTTTACCATGGGAATGTTCCCTCCAGCTGTGCCCTGCATTGCAAGCTGTTATTATTAAAGAGGCTGTGACCTTTTTAATTATAATCCTCGTCATTGCACAGTGACCCAGTCTGAGGGCTGCAATCCCAGCTATCCGTGCAATCAAGTTACTTGGCACGTTTCCCCATGGACAGACTTCTTTCCACCTATTTGTTTTTTTCCAAGCACCAAATTTCCCCAGTTTATAAAGTGCCCTTGGGAGACTGAGTGTTTGCTGCACCAGCTGGGGCTGGGGGAACAGCAAGATGCCAGCAGAGATGGAGGATAATTTGTGCCCTTAAGCTGCTTGGGGCTTTATTTATTGTCGCCACCACCCCCTTGCCAGAGCTGGTGTTGCTGCTGGAGACCAGCACCTTGGAAATCACATCCCTGGCAGGCAGCAGGATCCTAAAGCAGAGGTGTGTAGTGAGAGAGCTCCCTGCTGTGCTCCAGGTAATGAGTCGAGTGTGTCCCCCGTCCCTGTGGATTACACCAGTGCTCTCCCACCATATGGCATCCAATTTAATCAGCTGGGGTTGAGTTAAGTGGATTAGGCAGTGCAAGATCCTGCATTGTAATTTAAAGGGCTCTGTCAGCAATAATTTAATGGGGGAAATGGGCAGCGTTTGGGGATGAGTGGGAGAAAGGAAAGAATGGGGCTGAGCTCCGAGAAGGAAATTGATTCTTCGTTTTCATTTTGAGCATAAGGGCCTGGGAGACTCCAGGATTGAAGGACATGGGGGAATTGATTCTTTTAATGTCTTTTAACTGCCTCAGCCATTGTCACACATGTACTGCCTCACTCTCTGCCCACCAGCCACTTAAAACATCCTTGGTAATCCTGTCTCATCCACCCCCTTGAGCCCAAGTCCTCTTCCCCACCTGTTGGTTCCCCCTCGGCTGTGGGACTGTGGGGAGGGAGGGGATGCTGTGTGGAAGTGCTTTAATGTCATCTTTAGACCAGATCCCTCTTGATCTTTGTACTAATTGTGTCTCTGCACGGGCTGGGGAGCACTCAGCTCCTCTCCTTGGGGGCCTCAGAAACCTGAGGCTGAATGTGAAATTTCACTAAGTTGTTTAAGGGGAAATAAAAGGGACTGTTTAGGAATTCAGGGATTCTTTCTACATAGTACTATGGTTTTCCCACAATTTTTTTTTGTATTCCTCTTTGCTTCTCTGCTGTCGGATCAGCCAGCCAGTGCTGAACGACTTGCCCTAATTTAGCAGATACGCTGATGCCTCCCTTCCCCCTCCCCTAGGGATGCAGGAGGAGAAATAAAGTGGTGGGGAGTGGCTGTGCTGTGTGTCCGCTCGATGTGCCCCATCCCTCCACGTCCTGCCTGTGCTGAATGCTCCACTGTGAAATGGCCAGCCCACAACTCAAAAAATGGGGGCCTTGACAGTGCCAAATCCTGTCTGGGAGAGGGCTGCAGATGCAAACCATCCCGGGCAGCACCAGCTTGGTGCCCTCTGGCTCTCAGTACTGCAAGCGCTGACGTGACCGCTCTAATTAACACCCGCCAAGGAGACACCCCGTGTCCCCAAACAAAGGGCTGCGCCTACGGAGCGTTGGAGGGAGGGATGGAGGCTGCGTTTTCCTGCAAGCTTCGTTGGGAAAGGCTCCTGAGCAAGGAGGGAGAGGAAGAGAAGAGAGACCATATGGTGGGAAGGGGGCAGGAGTTGAATCCAAGCAGGTATAGGGAGCGTGGCTGGGCAGTACATCAAGGAGGCACCGTCCTGGAACTGCAGAGATCAGCAGCAGCCCAGCAATAATTCTGCTACTTCCGTGTCACTGAGAAGACTTTAAAAAGAAAAAAAAAATCCTAATCCAAAAGCTGTAGCAGGTTGTCTTTGATGCAAAGAGGCTGAGGGACAAACTGCAGGGATTCCCCCATGTATTCCCCCAAGGCACATCCAGTGGCAGTGCTGGTGCAGGCAGATGTTCCCTGCACGGGGCTGTGGTGAAGCTGGGAGCTTTCCCCAGCCTTGCAGCGAGGCTCAAAGAGGATTTGGAGCTGTTTGTGCCTTCCCAGTGCTGGCCTGCATCTGTTAGAGCAGAGCACTCTGCCACGTTCCGCTCTATGAAGGGTTTTTTTGCCCCTCTACAGCTCCTGGTTGTGACTTTGGGGGAGCACAAAGCTGGTGCCGGGCAGGGCGGGGGGTTTCGGCTGCTCTCGGCACGATGATGATCCGGGAGCTGTTCAGATGCTCCTCGTAAATACGGCTTTCAGGAGGAAGCCACCATCTGGTGCAGCTGCTTTGGGCTTTCCCCCCCTTCATCCCTCTTGCATTGAGGGATTCGTGTGTTTAGGCTGTGGCAGAGAACACGCCCACTGCTCCGAGGGACAGGGACCCTGCGCTTGGCTCCTCACCTCTAATAAACCAGCCCTGTGCCCCCCCAGCTCACAGGGGGCACAGAAGTCCTTTAGTTGATGGTACTGACAAATGGGGTTTTTCTGGCACGTGGATTTGCAGGTCCCTTTCAGCTGAGCGCCCATAAATGAATTTCTTGGGGTCCCTTCCTAAATGTGGGGCTGTGGAAAGGGCTGCCCCTCTCCCATGCTGCTCCTGGTGAATTAACCTGCTAAAGAGCGGGGAGGAGGGCAAGAAGAGCTCTGGTGTGCAGGTCTCTGGAGGAAGTTCAGGGTGCTTGGTAGCTGATGGATGGGGTAGGTTGAGAGTTAGGAACTGATGTTTAATGCTGTTGACGTTTAATTTAATTGCATTTGCTGTGTGCTCCATTACACACGGGTACTTAGAGTCAAGGGTAGGTGCAATTATTCCTTTCAAAATCTAAATAAATGATACTGTGCCGGTTTACCCCAGGGTAGGGTGCACTTGCTACTCATTTATTTTCCTTCTTAGTTGCAAGGGATTGTGCTGTCTTGGTATATTACAATGAAGGTCAGTTTTTGTATATCACTTACTGCAGCTGATGGGGGCCATCCATGTACTTTGCCCTTACAAACCATTGCAGTGGAACATGCTAGGGTGCAGGGAAGCCAGTGCCACCTGACAGCATCTTGCAAACAACCCGGAAAAGCCTTTTCAACACGCCCATTCCACAGATGACAGTGTTTCCCAAGGCCAGGTAGAGCTTTCAGAGAGTCACCAATGTTACTGCTGAGGTGTGGGTTCTCCATCCCTCGTACACTGCTGTAACTCAGGCACTGCTGCTCAGTTCAGCTTTGCACCCGGTGTTGTGTGTGTTTCTTGTGAGGATCTGCTGTTTTGGTATAATGGGACGTAGCAGGGTTGGTTTTGCAGAGCAGCCCCAGTGCAGCAGGGGGTAAAAATGCCTCTGTTAGGGCTGGGTGAGAGCAACGGGGGTGTGTGAGCCCCTGGCAGCACAGCCACCTCCACCCTCTTCCTCTCCTCCTTCCAAACTGTGGCTCTCACTGGGCTGAGCTGACGTTGGTCACACTGGCATTTGTTACTCTAAT